ATATGAATTTATTTTTAGCATTGGGAACTAATGGGTTAAGCGCCATCTAGTGGTAGCACGCCCTAGCTAGTAAATGCAGCGACATTTAGCGTACCCGGTGCATAGTAGTTTTCTAAACTGAAACCCACAGTGGCGCATCTATTTCTAATATAGTATATTATGGATAAGAACGTTCGTATGAAATAAAAAATAACTGTTATGAGAAAGAGTTCATTTAGAGTTGGTGAGGCTTAAATCATTAGATTCTGTTATACATATCAAAATATGGATACAACTAGCGACATCTTGTGGCAATCATGATTCATGTCTTTGTCTATGTTCAATATGTAAATACATATTTTTAATTTACGCGATTTTCGGTCTAGAATGTGTTTTTTACATGGATTGTCATATTAAGACTGTGAAAAACCAACTTTTATTTCCATATTTTACCATATTTCAAAGTTAAGTCCATGTTTTACAAGAAAATGTCACAATCATTCATATATTCACAAAAATACATAAAATTTCCGTTCCCGCCACTAATGTTTTGGATAAAAATAAAGGATTTAATACGCTAAAAAAATGAACAAATACTGTGCGAAAGTTTCGAGAGCTGTAGACATGGCTTACACAATTACTGAATTAAGCATGTTTAAGTATGCATCCATCACGTCATGTGACTTGAGATGAGACTAGAGCTGTTGCAAACCGTATGTATTCGGTACTGAGTAACGGGTGCGCCATCTAGTACCGAGTAACGAAAAGTTACACATGAATGCATTTCTTTACTCGCATTTTTCTTATAGTACATCCATGTACCGCTGATACGTATATTGGTATTGAATGAAACGTTTCTGATCGTATGTTTTACGCATGCGCGCACTTATTCGTAAAATTTTAAAACTTAGTTACAAATAACGATCTTTGTTTATTTAAGTACAAATTTGAAATTCGTCGTTCAAGTTTTAGATATTGTGTGTGTGTAGTGTAGATAAAGTTTGAGATTGAAACAGAAAAGAGGTAAGAAAGTATTTTCTACAAAATACATCTTTATTGTTTTATTTTGTTTAAAATATATTTTTATGTTAAACATTACCACATTTTATTTAATTTTAAGAACAAAACATTTTTGTTATTTTAATTTGGTTTAAAACATGTTTTATTTAATTTTTTTACTTAATTTCATTCAAAGTAAAAAAAATATGTTAATTTTTCATTAGAATGTTGTGATTTTATTGTCGATAAATTATTCTCGAGACTCATTTGTTGCTTTTTTATTTATAATCGATTTCGATGTTATTGTGATTTAGGTATGTAACACGGTTATATTACAAAATAAAAATAGTCCATTCATCCGGTTATTAGATTCTGCCGTACATACAATGATTTACTTTCAAAACACAGTTACATGTTAGATATATTTGATCCCAATTTTACAAGTCTTAAAAATAGGGTAAGGCTTACAATGACGATTCAATGATTTACTCTCCAATGACTTTTTTTTCTTACGTTTATTGTCATGTAGTTGTTATTGAATTATATTTTAATTTTGACAATTTATTTATTATTTTAAGTTTTTAATTTAATTCTTTAATTTTATTTTATTTCTTAATTATACTTGTTACACAATCTTAATTGAATGTATCTGTCTCTTTTGCTCCTATTTGTATTATTGTTATCTAAGTGAATGTAATTTAAATTAATTTCTAACGTCCGTTAATGTTTTTTGTATCAACAACTAAGTAAGTGAATTTATTTTATATGTTCCTATTTATTCATTAGTCTTAAATTGTACCTAAATAATGTAGCACCTGACAAAAATATTGGTTTTGTAATGATTATGCCGTGTACACATATTTAGGAATATAATCAAGCTAAAAATAATTTTAGACTGTAACTCAAATGTAATCCGGATTGTATTCTGTTTGTGTGTCTAAATAAATAATCAGAATCCTTATCAACAACTTATAGGCAGTTTGCAGATCCTACATAATACCTAATTCAATTCAATAACTGTATTAGTGAAGAGCATTGGGTTTATACTAAAAGAATATTATATATACTTAAATAAAACATAAAATTTGGTTTGAAATATAGTAAGAATAAAAATGATAATATTGAAGGATATGTTATAATGATAATTATAAGGACTGAGCAGTAATGTTAATGACAGTAAATCATATTCAGGGTATTGTTATATTTTGTCAGGATCAGTTATATCCTGGAATTGTAGTAAACAAAAATGTATTTCACTTTCTAGTACTGAAGCTGAAAATGTGTCAATATCAGAAGCCTGCAAAGAAGCAGTGTATCTGAGAAACTTACAACATGAAGTGACTTGTAGAATGTATACTATTACTTTGTATAATGACAGTATGAGTGCTCAGAAATTAAAACTGAACCCAGTATTCCATATTAAAACTAAACATATGGTTGTCAGGTATCACTATTGCTGAGATACTATGAATAAAAACATTGTTAGTATTCATTATTTGTGTATATCTGATATTCCTGCAGATTTATTTACCAAATGCTTAAGTGTTGTAAAACATTATAAACATGTAAATGCTTTAGGAATTGTTAGAGTGTAATATATTTTAACTTTAAGTTCATCTTAAGTATTTATATAGTTTAGAATAGTACATATTTTGATGGGAAGTGTTGTGAATATCAAAATATGGATACAATAAGCGTCATTGTATTTGTCTATGTTCAATAAATCATTCCTCCGTCGATCTTCAGTTGACACACGTTGTTTTATTATATGTATATTAATTATCGTAATCTAATTCCTATTAAACAGCTTATTTATTCATAATGGTGCTGAGGGAGCCGGATCTCTTTGTCTCCACTAACGTTTACATTAAGATCGGGTCTTGTCATATTTTCACAATAAAACTGTTAAGGTTCTATTCTTACTTTCTGTTGCCCTCACACACTCATAAAAATATTTCCATCTGACTCAAACGAATATTGTAGCACACATAATTTGAACAAATGTGTAAAGTTGATCTTTTTTATGATTTTTATGAAAATCTTGAAACGTTCCTTCCTTCGTATATTTTTTCAAACATGTAATAAGGGGAGAGGCACTGAGCTATGAAAAAACATTCACGCTTAAAATAATCTAAAAAAATACGAAGATATTTCTCCTTTTTTTTTTATTTGACAGTTACTTATTATTTTTACATACAATTTCATTATTTTCA